ATTGGTAATTTTAAGAAAATTTTGCAGCTTTTGGTTATTATCTTGAATATTATTATAGATAGAGATAAACTGTAAACAGCAATAATGTACAGCAAAGTAAGATCTACAAATAAGTCAAATGACCAAATTGTTATTTGACCCCTTAAGGAGTTATTGCCCTTTATAGTCAATTTTTAACCATTTTTCGTAAATTTTTGTAATCTTTTACAAAAATCTTCTCCTCTGAAACTACTAAGACAAATTTAACCAAACTTGTCCACAATCATCATTACGGTATCTAGTTTAAAAAATGTGTCCGATGACCCAGCCCGCGAACCAAGATGGCCGACATGGCTAAAAAATAGTACATAGGGTAAAATGCAGTTTTTGGCTCATATCTCTGAAACCAAAGCATTTAGAGCAAATCTGACGATGATAAAATTGTTCATTAGGTCAAGATCTATCTGCCCTGAAATTTTCAGACCAATCAGGCAACACGTTGTTGGGTTGCTGCCCCTGAATTGGTAATTTTAAGAAAATTTTGCAGCTTTTGGTTATTATCTTGAATATTATTATAGATAGAGATAAACTGTAAACAGCAATAATGTACAGCAAAGTAAGATCTACAAATAAGTCAAATGACCAAAATTGTCAATTGACCCCTTAAGGAGTTTTTGCCCTTTGTAGTCAATTTTTAACCATTTTTCGTAAATTTTTGTAATGTTTTACAAAATTCTTCTCCTCTGAAACTACAAAGACAAATTTAACCAAACTTGTCCACAATCATCATTAGGGTATCTAGTTTAAAAAATGTGTCCGATGACCTCGCCCGCGAACCAAGATGGCCGACATGGCTAAAAAATAGTACATAGGGTAAAATGCAGTTTTTGGCTCATATCTCTGACACCAAAGCATTTAGAGCAAATCTGCTGGGATAAAATTGTTCATTAGGTCAAGATTTATCTGCCCTGCAATTTTCAGACCAATCAGGCAACACGTTGTTGGGTTGCTGCCCCTGAATTGGTAATTTTAAGAAAATTTTGCAGCTTTTGGTTATTATCTTGAATATTATTATAGATAGAGATAAACTGTAAACAGCAATAATGTACAGCAAAGTAAGATCTACAAATAAGTCAAATGACCAAATTGTTAATTGACCCCTTGAGGAGTTATTGCCCTTTATAGTCAATTTTTAACCATTTTTCGTAAATTTTTGCAATCTTTTACAAAAATCTTCTCCTCTGAAACTACTAAGACAAATTTAACCAAACTTGTCCACAATCATCATTACGGTATCTAGTTTAAAAAATGTGTCCGATGACCCAGCCCGCGAACCAAGATGGCCGACATGGCTAAAAAATAGTACATAGGGTAAAATGCAGTTTTTGGCTCATATCTCTGAAACCAAAGCATTAAGAGCAAATCTGACGATGATAAAATTGTTCATTAGGTCAAGATCTATCTGCCCTGAAATTTTCAGACCAATCAGGCAACACGTTGTTGGGTTGCTGCCCCTGAATTGGTAATTTTAAGAAAATTTTGCAGCTTTTGGTTATTATCTTGAATATTATTATAGATAGAGATAAACTGTAAACAGCAATAATGTACAGCAAAGTTAGATCTACAAATAAGTCAAATGACCAAAATTGTCAATTGACCCCTTAAGGAGTTTTTGCCCTTTGTAGTCAATTTTTTACATTTTGCATAAATTTTGTAAATTTTTGTAAATTTTTACAAAATATTTTCCACTGTAACTACTGGGCCAAGTTCATTATAGATAGAGATAAATTAAATTGTAAGCAGCAAGAATGTTCAGTAAAGTAAGATCTACAAACACGTCACCATCACCAAAACACAATTTTGTCAAGAATACATCTGACTCCTTTGCTTAATATGCACATAGACCAAGGTGAGCGACACAGGCTCTTTAAAGCCTCTAGTTTTATATTTCAAAATTCCCCGTTCGATTCACTACAAAAATCTGAAAAGACAATTTTTTGTCTTGATTTGCATGACCATTACTCGACATTTTCAAAAAGTATGACTTATGTCTTAATTTTTCTTGACAAATTCTGACTTATATTAAATATGTTTGAAATTTACTCGACATATTCTCTACATTCTGAATACGGTCTTAAAATTTCTTGACAGGTTCTCGACATTTTTTTTTCTCAGTATGGTTTGACATATTTTGAACATTTTGAATTGTGTCTTGAATTTACTTGACAATTCTGAGATTTCCAAATCATGACCAATATATATGATTTATATTTTGTCTTATTTCTCTTTATAGAATATACTGTTATTTCAAGTTACATAATTTTTTTATAAATACAAATTTGAGAATGGAAATATTTACAAATACAAATGTGAGTATTATAATTTAAACCACTTTAAATGTGGGTTTGTAAATAATTACAAATGTTGATTTATAAATATTATAAATACGTGCTAAATGATTGAAATAAATCATACTGTAGATATATTTCATTTTTCATGCATAATATTCAATGTAAACATAGTAAATTATATAAATAACACATAGCTGAGAGGGTGATAGAGCAGATTGTTACCCCGAGATAACATTGCCAACTGAGGCGAAGCCAAGGTTGACAATGTCTTTTCGAGGGATAACAATCTGCTCTATCACCCTCTCAGATATGTGTTATTTAATTTATTATGCTGAATGTTCTGTTATTACTGTCGATTAAATTCAAAGTAATAAACTATGACGTCTTGTACATAACAACCATCCGTATTTAATAAAGCGCACACTTGATCAAGCGTCTTCGTGAAGGATAATAAGAGTATTTGCCATAGGATAGAGTCGTATTTAATAAAGCGCACACTTGATCAAGCGTCTCCGTGAAGGGTAATAAATTATTTGCCATAGGATAGAGTTGTATTTAATAAAGCGCACACTTGATCAAGCGTCTCCATGAAGGGTAAAGGAGTAAATTAACACCCTCGTATTAGCCAATCAAAATATGGCATTTTAACGTGAAGTATAATAAAAACAATTATTGTTCCAAAATGTTGTTTTTTATTATTAGCAATGTATTATTGTATCCTAATTCTTCTAAGCTTATTTTAGAGGTTATTGAAATGAGAATAAAACAGCATAAGAAAGTGTTTAGACTGTCAGGAATGTGTCAATACACAATTCAGACGAAATTTATACTGTCGAGATAGTGTCAAGACATATTAAGACATCTTTAAGACCGCCAAGAATGTGTCAAGATATATTCAGACATCTTTGAGACTTTCGAGAATGTGTCGAGACATATCAAGTAAAAATTCATGCAAATTCAGACAAAAATTTGTCTTTTCAGACTTTTAGACTTTTGTAGTGATTTAATCGTCAACACACCAAGATGACCTTATCCATCTCGTTTTTTGTTGCATGGTTTTCTACCCAAAATGCGACTGCTTCTGTGAATCAAACAAACAAATGTAATTATATTGTTTAAATCTTCTGGTGTAATACCATGGCAAATACAAAGATTACTCCCCGGAAAAGACCCACAGAACCTATTAACATTTATTGTACCAAATGTAGCAAAAAAATCAAAAGCCTACAATCCATTTGAAGACACTACAATGTGTTTCACGGAGCAACACTTACAGAATATTGTTGTCAATGTTGCCAGTCCAAATTTCTCAAAAAAGACATCGCCAAGCGGCACATAAAATTAAAACGTGATATGGAATACGCAGATCTTATTATCCAACAGAAAACCCCACGGGAAATGACAGAGATAATTCAAAAGTGGATCCCATCCCCGAAAGCTAGGCCCCACGAAAATTTTAGAAGAAGACCACTTTTTATCATCCGATGCACCCCTGCACCGTAATGCAATTACAAAAGCGGAGAAAGATACAGATGAAAACCGTACAAAAATTAAAAATACGACTACTTCAGGGAATTTAATAAACAAATGTTATTACATGGTTTAAATTTCCGGGTATAATACTATGGCAAATACAAAGACTACCCCACCCCAACCCCCCGGAAAAGACCTACAGAACCTTCGACATTTATTGTACCAAATGTAGTAAAAAAATCAAAAGCCTACGATCCATGAGAAGACACTATAATGTTTTTCACGGAACAACACTTACAGAATATTGCTATCAATGGTGCCAGTCCAAATTTCTTAGAAAAGACCTCGCCGTGCGGCACTTAAAATTAAAGCATGATATAGAATACGCAGAAGATCTTATTATTTAACAGAAAACCCCACGGGAAATGGCGAAAGTACTCAAAAGTTGATCCCATCTCCGAAAGCAAGGACCAGAATCAATCCTCAAGTGTAATTCAATTCAAGGAGATAAAGCCGCAAAACAGAATGAAGCAGAAGAAACAGAAAAAGAACCCATGCCCCACGACAATTTTAGAACATGACCCCCTTTTATCATCCGATGAAGATGATGAACAAGACCCATGCACCGCAATTACAAATTCGGAGGAAGATACAGATAAAAACAAGATCCACAACAACGCCATATATGCAATATTTAGAATAAGCAAGGATTGACATTTGTTTCATATTTTATTTATATTAACTCTCTATAAAAATTAAGAATATTAATTTATACATAATACATTTAATTTATAATTTCCATCACTATCAAGTCACAATTAAAATAAACCGCCATTATTGTACTTTAAATAACCAAAACTATGTATTATTATCCCGAGGACGCCGCACTAGCGGCGAAACATGAGCGTCTGGATGTGGGTCCTTCATTTCTGCATTCTTTAATTTTTTTGCCATTTTCTCTATAGTTCTTTATACTTTTTGCACATTATTCTCTATTCTTTATATTTTAGCATCTCATTTTTCTCTTTATTTTTTGCCCATTATTCCCTATTCTGTAAACCCCCAGCCACACCCTCCAACATGTCGACAGAATAAAACAATAACCTAACGGTAACCTGGTTGTTGTCTTCTTTTTGTAGTGAATGTTATTACAGATACATTAATAACAAGAGGCCTTGTCTGATTTGTTTGTTTCAGAATATGACTGTGATAAGACGATAACGTCAATTATTGGAGACATACGGGATGCAGACTCAGTCACACGAGCTTGTAAAGGTGTCGATGCTGTGTTCCATCTAGCGTCAAAAATAGATGTTTCCTTAATTCCTGACGACAAATCTATGTATGCTGTTAATGTGAAAGGTATATGTTTAACAAGATTATAATTTGTATGGGATGAATGAAGAAAATACGTGTACGCGTACAGAAGTGTCAGGTTAGAAAATAGACCAACCGCTAACATGTTTAATCCCGCCTCATTCTGAATGTGCTGTCCCAAGTCAGGAGCCTGTAATTCAGTGGTTGTCGTTTGTTGCTGTATATCATAATTTTTTATTTGTGTTTCGTTCATTATTTGACCAAAATAGTAAACGTCTTTTGTTTAAGCATATAAAAACTGAATATAAACAAGAATTTTATTTGACATACCCTTATCTTGATACAAGAAAACTTATATGTAAATTTAGAATTAGTGATCATGCCCTCGCTATTGAACTGAAATAAATAAAAATATTCCACGCCCTCAAAGACTTTGTAATAAGTGCAATATTCTGGATGACGAATCCCATTTGTTTTTATTATGTAAAATAAATCAAGATTTAAGACGATTTAAGAGCCCAATACAAAGATGTTTCTGATAACAAAATGAAATATATTCTAAATCCAACTACTAGTCAGCAAGTGAAATCTTTGGACTCCTTTATTAAACAGTCTGTGGAATGAGAACAGGGGGCACTTGAGGTCATTTGTTGTGTTGTGTGTTTATTATTTTGTTTTATTTGATGTGAATGTAAATGTCATCATTATACTGTTGTTCATACATGTAATTGTTATGCCTTTGACCCTCTTATGGGTGTAATTTGTGCTTATTAAAGTTAATTATTTTTTACTTAAATCAGGCCGTTAGTTTTCTTATTTGAATTGTCATTTCGGGGCCTTTTATAGCTGAATATGCGGTATGGGGTTTGCTCATTGTTCAAGGCCGTACTGTGACCTATAGGTGTTAATTTCTATGTCATTTTGTCTCTGGTGGAGAGTTGTCTCATTGGCAATTATATCACATCTTCTCATAATTATTTATATAAGACTTGTTACCTTACGTGGCTTTTGAATTTTATGCCCCCGCAACTAAAAATTGGGGGCATATTGTTTTACCCTTGTCCGTCCGTCCTTCCGTCCGTCCGTCCCATTATGGTTATATAGTTATTCCAGATAACTCCTCCTACAGTTTGAATGCTAGGAAGTTATTACTATGCTTGCTATTTGTACATATATTGAAGGTGTGCATGAGGTCAGGGTTTTGATTTTTATTGATATTTGCTCTTTTGGGAGATAGTTGGACTTTGTCATTTTTGGAGTATATACTGGCATAAGAGGTACATAGCATTTCCAGATAACTCCTCCTACAGTGAACATTAGACGTATGTGCTCCCATGCTCAACTTTGTGTATTTTTAAATAACACTTTGCATCTGCAGGGGCACCATTTGTTTCTCCCAGACACAATAATATCTCAAAGAAAGTACTACATTGACTCGAGCTTCAATTCACCTTATAACTAATTACAGACCCAAATTCACCTGAGTATACAGTATATACGCACAAATTACATTTGGTAATAGCTTACGTCTGTAACAGCAATCTTAAATAAAACCAACAGAGACAAAAACATCAAGCAGTCAATATACATTTTGTACTATTTTCTACACTAAACAAAACATAATTTACATACTAAATCTACAGCTCTTAACAAGTTGTACCGTGTACGATTATTAAAATGTCGATCTCTGGATCTATAAAAACAAACAAATTCGATCTTACAAAATCAAAGGATCGACAAAAAAACAAGTATATTTTAGCTCAACCCTACCACATATTCAGTTGTCTTACCAAGTCAGTAACCACTAGATGGTTGTCTTATGTCAATTGTCTTATGCGTTTTGTAGGTACACAAAATATAATTAGAGCGTGCACAGAACAAAACGTACAGTACTTGATATATTGTGGTACATTAGGATCATTTTATGGGTACGATGCTGTTCGGAACGGAACAGAAACATCGGTTACATTTCCAAAGATATGTTCACATGGACATTACGGAGAAACAAAACGGAAAGCTCTGGAGATAGTTATAAATGAAAATGGATCAACTTTGAAAAATGGTGAGAAGTATATTGGTAGTAAAAGCAATTTTGTGCAATGAATTACAAAAAAAAAAAATCATAAAAGTGTAACAAACTGTAAACGGAGGCTAATTAGCTGGAACAAATATTGATCGAATATCAAAAGGACAGCCCGCGAGTAAGAAAATTATTAAATTAAAATGCATTATTTCTTATCAACTCAACTTTAAAATAAACATTTGCATATTGAAGATCGAATATACCACTGAAAACTGTGAACATTTATAATAAAATGTCAGAGGTCGTTTTGGGTATACATATAAGGTCAAATAGGCTTCACCCGTCCCGCAATAAAACTAACCGTTTTGGTTGTGCAAGATATATGTCATTGTCAGTCGGAATCGGAACACCCTAGCCAGGTGCAGGAGGTGCCACTTAGAAAACAATAAAACAAAATGTTTGCTTTATTCCAACGTTCACTAATTTTGACCACGTTAATACGGTATAGAAATTGGCTGAATCTAGACTACGCATGCTAAGAGTGGCTTGTTTGTGCGGGGTTATCAATTTACAGCTTTAAAGTTTGATGTAAGCGGGGACAAAAACTGTTACCATAAAAATAGGAAGATGTGGTATGATTGCCAATGAGACAACTCTCCACAAGAGACCAAATGACACAGAAATAAACAACTATAGGTCACCAATGAGTAAAAACCATACCGCATAGTCAGCTATAAAAGGCCCCGAAATAACTAATGTAAAACAATTCAACCGAGAAAACTAACGGACCCATTTATGTACAAAATAATGAGCGAAAAAACAAATATGAGATACAGCAACAAACGACAACCACTGAATTACAGGCTCCTGACTTTGGACCGGCACATACAGAATGTGGCGGGGTTTAACTAGTTTGAAGACGCGCCAACCCTCCCCTAACCTGGGTCAGTGGTGTAACAGTACCACATAAAAACAAACTATAAAAATCAGTTGAAAAGGACTTAACTCATCAGATCGATAAAAAACAGAAATACAGAGTGGACGTGGCAGGGTACTTATACATCCCCACAACACAAAGACACTAAGTACAGATCTGAGAGTACTCTCAGTTACTGACAGCTAGTTCAAAGCCAATAAAAACTAATAAAAAATCATGCATCTAAGACTAAAATATCCAATGGATTTAGTGTAAAGCAGTCAGAGAAAGACATGACCTTGTACAATGCCAAGATACAGGTATCGATGCCTAGTTGAAATATCACACAGTTGCACGTTAGAAAACCCACCATTGCAACACTTTCACTGAAGAGTCCGTACATGGCGTGTCACTTCGCAGAAATTAGATATTCGATTAAGAGACATCCACCAGAAACTAAATTACGATGTAATTAATTATAGGTCACAGTACGGCCGTCATCAATCAGCAAAACACATACCGTTAAGTTCTACGACATGACAAAATGTAAAAGAATCAATACGGGGAAATGTGCGGCCTGATATGTGTTCAAAATAATAACCAATAAACAATATGACAGAAAGCAACCAACAACAACCCCTGAATGATAGATTCCTGGCTTGGAACAGTCACCTATATACTATGGCGGGGGTAAACATGTTTGCAAGTGCTCAACCTACCCCTAACCTAGGACAATAGGACATGATTGCGTTTTTATACATCCACGAGTGGATCTTCTATATATTTCTAAATTTGCATCAAATATTTGTCATTCGACATAAAGCTTAACACATAAAATAAATCCTTTTTGTATGCGTATTCACACATCAAGCACCGCAAAAAAAAAACTAAAAAAACTAACGTACTTTGTAGTTCCTCCTACTTTAAACTGTTGTTCAATGAATATTCTGCAGTCAATAGTATTCTACTTTACAAAGGCTATCATGCAAAAGCGCAATCTTACGTGAAACATAATATTCTAAATTATGCTTCTTGTATGTTCTTTCAGAATATAAGATGGTAACTACTTTCTTACATGACAATCGTTACGATTTAAGTCTTCAGCTTCTCTTTGAACAAATTCTCCTTCGAACAACATCATCTTCAAGAGTCTAAAACGTATAGCTGCAATGGATAGTCTTTGTACCATGTTTCATCGGCTGCGAAGTAACCCGCAGCATCACTGATGAATTCGAGGGTCATTAGGGACGACGTTAAGCGCTAATTTTCCTTAGCTACCAAACTACCGTATATACCCCCTCTTTTTCTTTTATCCCACACGACTCATTTTGAAAATTCATGCAAACGCCTCACAAATACCTTTATCTGATGCGTAAAATTCCAACAATCAATCGATTGAATCAAGACATAGCATGCGATGATATGATTCTTTACACTATTTACTTTCTTATCTTTCAGGTAATGTTCTTAGAACTATTGGTATTTTACCTCCCGGGATGTATGGTGAGCTTGATCCAACAAATAAAATTTCTCGTAACAGATCAGTGAGAAATGGAATATACTATCGTGTAATGGGAGCCATGGAGGCAAAACTACAATACAGTTATGTTGGAAATGTTGCTATGATGTTTGTCAAAGCGTATCAGTCATTGCAAAACAATGAAAAGCTTGGAGGACAGTATTTTTTTGCAGTTGACGATTCCCCACCACAGACACATATCGAATATCGAAAACCGTACATAGGCGAAAATATTGGTATTTCGTCATGGCATTTGTCGCATCGCTTCGTGTGTGCTGTACTCCATTTCATATATTTTTGCTTACTTATAATCAGTCCGTTTAAAAAGGCAAATTTTCAGTTATCGCCTAATGTAATTAATTTTGTCAATACAACTTTCTATGTAACATATGAGAAGGCGAAAACGTTGTTTGGTTACAAACCTTTATACGACTACAAAGAATCCGTCCGGAGAACAATAGAAAGTTTGTCTAAAGTAAAAAGTATTGACCAATAGAAAGTTTGCCTAAAAAAAGTTTTTGAACATTTGATAGTTTGCCGGAAGTAAATTATTGAGGAAGGACATACTAAATTTAAATGTAAAGACAGGCGTTGGTGTTATCTTGTAACCAGTGTTTAATCTTAATGTTCATTTGAAATAAGCTTTTATATTTCAATTTGCCTATTAGAAATGTCTTGCTAAACGATAGCATCCTGATTAGCAAATTCAGATTTGTTGCTTATTGTAGTTACCAAAATATAAATTTGGTTTTAATGGAAGAACTAAAGTCTTATATCCTTTTAATTTTTAAACATGTCTTGTAAACGAACGTCAGACAAAAATTTAGAAATTATAAACTTTTGTCTTGTTTGTTATAGTTGATGTATTTAAAAAACCTTATATTTTATATGATTTCTAATATAAAGAATATTTAAGCCAACTGTTTTAAAACTGTTACTGATCTACAAAAGAACGTGTCATCTTTTTCTTTACCCTGTTAACATTCCCTACCCCAAAAATACTTTTTTTTATAATACCAGTATGCTACTCTTTTTGCCTAAATGTTCCTTTATTCTTATGAGACAGACTTCATACACACTGGTGTTTAACTGGTCATGGTAACTGCAGTTACCACGATCCCAATATGGCGAAGGTAGAAATAGGTGAAATCGTTTTCTGCTTATTTCTACATGTATACGTGTTGTTTTCAAGAATTACTCAGCCACCAGGTTGATCTGTACGGTTTAGTTGTGGATGTTTGTTATAAATATCATATATAGCCTCGATACCGAAACAATCACCATCGAAAATTTTAGGAGGATACTCGTAACTCCAAAAAAAGATAATCGTAACTGCAGAATATTTCAATGATAAAAGTAATTGATTTTGATAAAAAGGTTGCGTCATAATAACAACGAACGCGATATTTTTTGTTAACCACCATACCTCAATGGACGACTGAAATATGGTATGCAATTATTGCACACAACATTTCCAATCTTTCCAACACAGATTTAATCACTTTTTTAGTCTGAATTTAGATTATTTACAAATGTAAGCATGGAAATGTATCAAAAACTTATTGTTGTTTAACTTTCAAAATAAAAATAAGATGTTGTTGTATGATTGCCAATGAGACAACTATCCACCAGAGACCAAAAGACATAGACGTAAGCAACTACGGGTTATTGTACAGCCTTCAACAATGTGCAAAACTTTTAGAAAATGATAACGTCAACCACTAAATTACAGACTCCTGAATTCGGACAAGCGCATACAGAATTTAGCAGGGTTAAACATGCTTGTGAGCGCTTTCCTCCTTCTTTTTATGAAGAAGTATCTCTTTTATTCCCAGATATCTTATTCTTTTTGTATGCTCTATTCTATCTTTTGATTACCCTTCTTATATCTGCCCCAAACAACACTGGGGTGAGTAGGGAATATAAGTATGGGCACCATTTTCTTCTTCCGACGTGCAGTCAAAACCCTCCTTGCATAAGTGGGGCGTTCGTTTTGGCTTTGAAGGATGTATAAATACGCAGCCACGTCTGGTCAGAATGGTGACATTAAATCTAATGCCTCATGTAGAGAGTATGCTACGCTCTCAGCAACCAACAATCAATCAATCTTATATCTCCTGTCATAAAAGGCATCCATTATTTCACGATCAGCATTAATAGGCGAAAGCGCATCTGGCGCAGAACAATTGGTACCGTTAATGTTATAACTAACACCGGGCCGATACCTTTATGAGTTGTCGAAAAAAGCATCTGTTGCAGTACATGCAATTTGCATATTTCTCGGGGCCACTCGGATCTTTTCTTCATTTTTAAGGTAAGTCAAGAGAAATATTCTATAGCAGACGATAGACTACCATAAACAAAGAAGAAACATATAAATATTACTGAATTTATCGAACTATAATTATTCCAAAATAAAAATGCCACGTAAAAACAAAAATGTAGTCAGAAACCTACAGGTAAATACTTGTAAACAAAAGAAATAAAAAGAAATCCAAATTTTAAACACAAAACAAATAAAAAAAGCAGACAAATAATCTGGAAAGGAACTGTTCATCATGACAAATCCTATATCACACTATTTCTGCATTAGGATATTCAATTAACAATTTTATTATCCCCCCCCCCCCCCTTTTATGAAAACATTTATTGGAGGCTGTCGTTTTAGTAATTAAATTTTAACACCTATAGCATACTTTACCAGGTGAAAGGCATCTGTAGTGTGATTTAGTCACGTGTTATGTTATTTACCTTTTAAAACCATACATTTTTAAGTAAAAAAATATCTTATGTTGAAACAATTAATACAGTTATACTACACTTCTTAAGTATGGAATTCCATCAGGACCCTTATAAATCTAACTTCAAATTTAATGAATTACAATGTAAATTCAAATTCAAATATTTCCACCCCTCTCTTCCAAATATCATTTAGCAATCAATTTGTTTATTGCTACCAGCAAAATGAATGAGTCCAGGAAAATATTCACAACACATAATGTTATATTTCAAAACAATTCAACAAAAAGGAGTCATTTGAATAAATGAATAGGCGCTCAAAAACATATACCCGCGACACATTTTGAATGTACCTGTCTTAAATCAGGAGCACGTAGATCAGTGGTTGTCGTTGTTTCTTGTCGGTCATATTTCTTCTTCAGAAATAATTTTGTTATAAATAAGGTCGTAAGTTTTCTCGTTAAAATTGTTTCACATTTTCATGTTGAGACCTTTTATAGCCGAATATAATAGAATAGAATAGAATAGAATATTTTTATTTCCCAAATTACCGTATATACGGTATGGGGTTTTCTCATTGTTGGAGGCCGAAAGGTTATACCAAATATATGGTTCAAACGACACTTTCTTCATTTATTATTAAGTTTCCTTTTTTTAAAGAAATGTTTTTCATCATCTGAATCTTTACCAACTAGATAATTGTCAATAATTATATTCGATGTTCAATATAAGAATGTAAAAGACTTATGATTCACATTCTCGTACATGTATCATTTCCTTGTTTGCTTTTTATGCTTTTTGTCTAACAATTTCTTATGAAGTTATAGACTTGCAAGCATACAGAAATATTACTTTTCCATCTCAAGAAATCAATTTAAAAAAATGCATCTGTTATAAACCTTTTTCTTAAAAGCAATAAAAATAAGATCTATATACAGGTTGTCTATTAGTTATGTTAGGGTATTTAATTGGTGGTGCTTAGGGTATTGTATGGTCGTAGTACAGGTATTCATTAAACATCAGGTAGTTGTACCGTTATTACTTTTACAATAATATATTCCAATCTCACCTGTGCCCTCGGCAAAACCAACATCCAGGATGTACACAAAGAACTAATGAAGTAATATTGCGTAATAACTATGTCTTATCAATTGTGGCGTGACACCTGAAGCTTACAACTTCAACCGAGACCTGAAATTGCGAAATTCAATCACCCGTACCGCACACCTGTGACCTATGATGAACTTATGGCATGGCACCCGAGACCCCAACTCTCGATTCCTTATGAAAGTGGGAGGAAAGAAGTGTAGTTTGGGCTTGTTAAAATGTCCCATCTTTACACCTTCTAAGTCTGCGTGTCATTCGAAAAACAGAAAACATCATTTCAATATTCTTTTTAATTATATTGTTGAATCCATCGGCATCACACATAATCATTTTTTATCACTGTCATGCGTTTTGATGGATAATAATCGAAACTAAATTTGCGCTGTACCTATATGCCAATATGAATGAAAGTAACCACTGACGTAGTAGCCTCATTCTGAGTGACTTCCGGGATGGAAATATGCATATTTGACAGGTCATAAATCGTTGCATTAAAATCTCATTAAAATACATATTTTACCAAATATTTGACACTTATATTGCTATCGATGTATTTTTAGGGAAGATTAAGTATAAATAAACATTTTGAAACACAAATTGAAAATCGTGTCATGTCTCCTTTAATGCTGTGCGACATGATTAAATTTAAAAGCTGCAGAATCAATTTTTCAAGTATGCAGTAAAAATCAAAATGAGATAAAAAACAAACCCATTTTATAGTGTCTTTCTATGTTGTGATGTTATACTATTGTTTCAGAAAAGGGAGAAGGTTTGGTACCATTAAAACGTTTAATCCCACTGCAAATGTTTGCACCTGTCCTAAGTCAGGAATCTGATGTAAAAACATGACCCTGTGCAATGCCAAGAAACAGGTATTAACAGATTGTAGATCCATGAAATTACACATATTTGTATAACCATAATATTTAGTTTTCCTTTAATTAACTGATAACAAAATCAATATTAATACCAATAAAAATACTTTGCTACATATCAATGATATCCAAACACATTTGACTGACCCTTTTTGAGAGATGGAGCCAAGGGGTCAAGGAAAATGGAGCATAAACTATTAGTTCATGAATGTTTATCCAAATATTAAAAAGGACTTAGTATGGCGGAATTTAATACCCCCCCCCCCTCCCCCTCAAAGAAAAAACAAAACAAAACAACATTAATTCTCCTTTTAAATATGTTTGAGTGTTGGAGGTGAGTTTCAAGCTCTAGTCTCCCACCTTCATCAATTTCTGTTAATTTTATTATAATGCAGTGTTACGAATCCATACAGTATCGGTTTAAATTTAAGAACTGGTAAAGGCCAGAATATTTCCCTATAATTGAGTATTTTATAATAAAAACAAAATAAACAGGGAATGTGTCCATGGGACACAGATGATGCCCACACTTGCATATTAAAGTTGAGGACTATAATTCAAGAACTGTAAAAATGACGCTACCCAAATTTCTACTTGATCTGAGTTTTGTGGTAATAAGCATTGTGTCAAAGTTTCATAACATTTGGTTGAGGCAAACTTTACATTGTAGTTAGAAAATGGAAACATATATTTCAGCAATTTTTCCATTTGTAAAGGGGCATAACTCCATAATAGTAAAAATGACGTCACCAAAATTCAACCTCGATCTGTGTTTTGTGGTAATAAGCATTGTGGAAAAGTTTCATAAAGAACGGAAAACTTTTTTGGGATGTACGGAGGGACGAACGTACAGATGGACAAGGGTAAAACTTAATGCCCCCTCCGCTATGGCGGGGCATAAAAAGACTCAGAAAACAAGAACTACTTTTTGCTCATATTTTTTTAATAGGAAAGATAGCACCATAGGCAACACTTCTACATAGTTTGGGTTACCAGTTATATGAGGGTCTGAATAGGATGGTGTTCATTTATATGCATTTTAATTGCATGCCATTGATATATATTCTTTAAATTTTAACACGTAATTATTTTTTTTTTATCTTTTATTAAAAAAAAAATGTTTTTCTATTTTCCTTTCTTGTTCTTAATCACCATGCTTTTTCCATTATTTTTTAATTTGTAAACCCCGTCCAGACCGC